CCCCAAAACCCCAAAACCCCAAAACCCCAAAACCCCAAAACCCCATAAGCATGGTTAAAAATAGAATTAAATATGATGAACCAGCATGCCAATTTCGGCAATTCAAAAAACCCCAATATGGTAGTAGCAGTTACTAAATTCACGACTAAAAATGTTCAAAAGTAAGCTATAACCATGTCTTCATACAGACATTAGTTTCTGCCAGAAATATATAAGCCTGATGAGATATCTTATCAGGTTTGTTCTCATTAGTACAAGACACCATTTCTTAGGTTTTTACCCCTCAGAAGATATCTGACCTAGAAGGTATAACAACATGGTTGCGTTATGAAAAGTAGAGTAGATATCTATGAAAAATTACCTAAAGAGGCATGTGCATACAGTTCCAGTATTTTATAGGGTTATTATCCGTATTTAGAGCGGATTAGGCCACTTGCCAGTTTCTGCTATGAATTATAATCAAAATTTATCCTAATTAACCCTTCCTTGTTCATATGAAATAATACAGTGGTCACTTGAGAGTAAATAAATGCAAAAGATTCATTGTAAAATCTTGGACGACTTCATTCCATATTACATTTGGGCTCAAAAAGAAAGTTTCAATTTATGCGTTATTATTAGTGTAAAAGTTTCTAAACCTTCGATTATAGTTCACACAATAGCCCTCTACTGCCATGAGAAAGTGTCAGGAATTCCTTGCAGATTATCAACGAGGAGAACTCAGATGGAGAGACTCCGAGGGTTCATCCAAAAAGTAAGGCTTATCTTACCTTAAATCTTCGATTCTAATTCCTCACCTAGGTCGAGCTACTCAAAATGTTGCGAAGTATCTTCCAAAAATAGACCCTGAGGAATTCATTCAACTTGAGACTATCAATTCACCAAAGGTGAGGCAGAAGGAGTCGGAAACTAGCATCATGAGTTTTGCTGAAGGGAAATAGCAGTACGGTCATCTTCTCACTCTTCTAGAAACTTTTACTGATAAAGCTTCAGATGCTAGATTGGTCAAGAAACTTGACTATTTTTACTCACCATATCTGAAAGAGAACAAGACAAACCCGGATTCCAGTCCCAATAAAAAGGTAAATTAAAATCCTAATTTTTAGGGAAAATTTCGTAGAATGAATGTGAAACTCAGAAAACTTAATTTCAGCAGTAAAAGGATCGAAAGCATGAAGATAAAGCCTTCGTCGAATAATTTTGCTAACTTGACCATTGACTCCAGGATCCAGAACTATAAGCCTGTGTTAGGATCGACTGATATAAAAGTAGAGAGATTCGATCAGACAATGGAGAGTATATGGTCTCCTCCTACAAAAACTTTATCGGGACTAGGCCCGAAGAAGACTTACTTACTCCCTACTTCTTCGAAGAATCTTATGATAGAGAAAGATTCGGACAAAAGCATTGAAGAAGGTTTTAAGGACCAAAGCGAATCAGACTTCTTCCAGATGGAACAGACTGTCCGCAATGATGTATTAAAGCAGTCTAGTGCGAGCTCGCATCTCTCCTCAATATCCTCCTGTTCATACACTTCTTCAAAGATTTCCCAACATTTTGAGTTCAAGATTAGTGTAAAAGGGAGTGACAGGGATGGCCTTAGAAAGAATAGTGGAGATGCTCAAGACTCTCTGGTATATATCCTCATCTAACCCATAGGACAAAAGCCCTGACCTAGATCAACATCCAAAGAGACTGAAGCGGAGCTCAACTCTGAAAGTTAAGAAAACCGCTTTAGCTACTTTTAACAGAAAGAAAACTATTGCTTTCAAGAGTAGTTTCCTTTCTAATAAAACTAATGTAGGTTTGAGTAGACTAAAGGCTAGTTCGAAAACATCATCAGCAATTGCGAATCAAAAGAATTCCGTTAAGGAGGAGGACTCTGAGAGAAAGTCATGGTATCAGAAATAACTATCTCAAAAGACAAAGTACACTTCTTAACCAAAATTTTAAGTCCAACTTGTTGGCTCCATCAATGAACTCTCCTAATGTGACTCCTGATAGAAAAGATGATCCTGTAACTTTCAAACCTCGAGTGTCTATCTCTGGTCTCAGGAATGATCTAGATAAAGGGGAGTCTAGGATGAAGTCACTCATTCTCTTTAGTAGGACATTAAACAAGGAGAATGACCATCAAAATAACTTGGACAACAAGTCAAACGGGAAATATAATGCCCTCAAAGAGATAAAACACCAGCTTGAAGAAGAGCTTCAGGATACTGAAGAAGATGATGAAAAAGAAGAGAAAGATTCTAAGATTACAGATAAAGTTTCAAGAAAAGTCTCTTCATTTAGGAAGGATCCTCGCTCTATTCCTCTTAGTAGTACCAAAATCTTGGAAACTGATTCAAGGTCTTCTTCATGTTCTTCTAAAGTATTCTTGTTACTTAAATTTTAGCAAAAATCAAAGGAAAACTTCCAGCTTACGAACAAGACTTTGACTATTTCTAAATAAGCCAAATCCCGTGAAGACTAACCTAAGGATGTTGAGCTTGATTAAGAAGAGACGCAGAAAGTTGAACTCGATGTCTCCATTGAAAATCATCCCAAAGCCTTGCTTTCCAACCCCGATTGCTACACTTGATCAAGCACGTGAAAAGGGTAGTGGCAAGGTATGTGACCTTGCCAGTATCTTTCCTGCCGCAAGGAATATGAAAAGACTGTTCTCCCCACAACCTAGGGAGAGGAAGACCTCTCCCAAGAGGAAAATCAAACTACTGAGAGAAAATGTAAGTGTGATTAGAGTTCAGTGAAACTAGGCTTTAATTTATTGATGATTACTACTTTTCCAAGTCAACATAGCAAATATAAAGATCCTTTATAGAAAAGTCCTTCTTTGAAACATGCAAAAATTCGGCCTAAAAGGCTCCATAGCAACTTTGTGTCATACAAGAAGAAGCTGAGTAAGGTTAAGAAATCATTATTAGGACCCACCAAGCAAAATATGACTAGAAATATAAGGTTTCTTAGTCCAGGTAATTTTTTGTTAAAACCGTGAATTAAGATTTTCTTAGAACCATACACCTCTCCAATAAGTCCCAAACTAAAAACAATCTTGATTCAAAAGAAGCGTGTGAGTCCACAAAAGTTGTTCAAGAGGAACCAGAATTTGGACATGTTTGTTCCTAATTCCAGACTGTATGTACTAAATCCCTCAAAGACACTGGCATAGTTTGAAATCTGAACTTGCCGCCAAGCTACCACGAGTAAATTTTCATTATTTATACTTAACCTAAATAATTCAATATATGGCGCTTCATTTGGGGTTTTGGGGTTTTGGGGTTTTGGGGTTTTGGGG